AGGCCTAACCCCTCGCCTGGCAGGGGGGCACTTTACCGTGGACTTGCTAACAATTCTGCGCCTTGCCGTAGGGGTCGTTGCGGAACTCGCCTCTGTCAAGGTCGTTGAACTGCTGGCTTCCTCATGTGTGCTGTCGCGGGACTTTGCCTTTTGTTCATGTCCTGGCCTCGGGTTCGGGCAAGCCATAATCATCAGGCAGGGCGCCCTGTGAGATAGGATATTCCTCTGCAGATAGCCATCCGACCCTTCTAGACAGCTGCTCAGCACGAACGCCTGCTTGAACATCATCATGGGCTGGTCGCCTGGGGGGCGACTACCGAAGGCGATCCGGCGCTGCTTCACAGAGAAAACGACGGAACACGGCGCGAACCTCAGCCAGCGCTCGCCAGCGACGATGTTCAAGCCGTACTCGTTCCACGCGTGGCTCGCCTTCCAGCCTGCGAATGAACGCGTCGTCTATCAATGGTTTGCCTCCAGGCACTTGCACATTGCTTTTCGGTGATCGACTGCAGCGTCCTTCCAGGGAACCACCGCGGAAGTAGCCGTCGGAGTGGCTCACTGTTGCCCTGGCGCAGCAGCGCGCCGAAGAAAGCAACGCACCACTCTTGCCAGTCAGAGCTGCCCCTCGCCAAGCATGCGCGATCATCAAACCGCAGCGCCCCCCAATCTCGCTGGCCTGCTCGCATGCGCGCGTAGTCTTGCACCGCGAGCACTGGCGGATCATTGCCGTCGGGGCTTGGTGGAGGTCGACCCATGGCCCCAGGCTGCTCCTGACTTGGCACCGTCATCTTGACCCTCTTGCGCGAACCTGTCGCGGCGACAAAATTGCCTGGCAGAGGCTGCGCAGTAGCCATCCAGGGCTTGCGCTCTTACGCCAGGGCGCGGCGACGACTGGGCCTGGTTGTTCTGCTGTGCAGTAACCAGGACTTGCGCTCTATCGCCATGGCGCGGCGACGCCTGCGCCTGGTTGTTCTGCTTCGCAGTGACCAGGACTTGCGCTCGAACGCCTTTGTCGCCCTTCATGATGCCGCCGTTGCCAGGCGCGGTGTTGGCCTCGTCTGTCTGCTGCTTACGTCCCATCTCTTTCGCGCAATTTCTTCCATGTAGCTTTGCCATGCGCTTTGTAAAAACTGTAGGGCCCATCAGGCACAGGCCGAGCAGCGCGAGTGACCACTTTTTCACGCTGCCGATGAGTCCGAGCATTGGGTCGCACAGGCAGGCTCGCATCAATATGTCGTGCTAGCTTCTTGCGCGGTCCTATGCGTTTGCGATGGTTGGTCAAGGCCTCCGCGCCTCTTGTCGTTGGCCAAGTGCACTCGACTCGTAGCTTTAACGTTCGCCTCCGCTGCGCCCACGCCCCGCGCTCGATGCATGCGAATGCGGTCGCCTTACAGGTCATGTCGCTGAGGAGGCCGCCCATCTGGTCGACGGCCACGAGCCTGTGACCCAACGGGATGGCGGTGCGCTCTTTGAGGAAGGTCGGAGTACCAGCGCATCCATTCAATTGATCGTATTCAGGCTGACGGAGTCTCAAGCACCTGGTGCACTGCTGCCCGAGGTCGGGGTCCTGCCAGTCATGCCAATTGTCCGCCCTGATGCTCTTGACTCGCGTGAAACCAGAATTGTCTCTTTGCCATCGCTCCTCCCCCTGGTCAAACAGCGGTGAGACCTGTGCGATCACCGCGGCGAGGTCCTTGCACACCATCTGGTGACGCTCCATCCGCTCTTGGAATTCAGCTGAAATTGGAGCGTGCCGCCTCGCTCCTTGGGCCGCTTAGCGATCGCCCGCAAAGCTGCCGCCGGTGATGCGCTTGGTGTCCTCATCCAGGTTCGCATATTCTTCGCCTGATCGACGTGCCTCAACATGACGAACAGCCATTCTGTGCTCAAGACCAGGGAGACCCTGCGCAAGCACAAATACCCCGCCATACTTCTGCGTGACATGCACCCTCTCCTGCGCCGTCTTGTTGAACTGGTCGATGTTCCCTTTGAAATCGGCATGAAGAGTTGTCGGTCGATCGGCAGCCTGGCACGAGAAAGCGAAAGCGAGGTATTAAGCCATGGACGCTTGCGGTAGGCTGGCAAGTACCGCTGCATACATGACCCGCAGAGGCTCCGCGCCCATGGGGTCCAACAGCGACGTCGCCCAACCAGCCCTTTGAAACTCGAGCAAAAACGGTTTGTCCTGGCCCCACGTCGCCGCCGTCGATGTTGATCACGCGCGCTCGAATGCCGAGGTCCATGCGCGGGATCTCCTGACCATGATATGTGGCACACCCTTTGAGAAAACGGCCGCCGCCTCCTGCAGCACGTATGTCGTGAAAGACATGCGGGTCCACGTCAGCTTCACTGCGTGCAGCCACCACTTCAGGAAGTTGACAGTCTGCCAGTCGGTGTACCAATGTGTCCAGCTCTCCACACTTGCGCTTGCCGTCCGTGATGTACCCCTTTCTCCTAGCCTTAGTGCGCGTCCACATCCCGTCACGCGCACAGCTCATGA